GTATTTTGTTAATCTTTTGCTCTTTTGACATCTAATGTGATTTTTAGTTTGTTATCGAAATAAGTGTTTTTGACAGAGGAATGCAAATAAAAAAGGACAGATTCTGCATTTATCAATTAGGTTAATGAAATATATATTAGATTTTGCTATATAAATTGTTGGCATCGATCCAGGTAAAAGTTTTAGAGTTACTGCCCGTTTGCATTAAAAGTCGTGTGGCGCTATTTATACATGTAGCAAAGGAGCATGTGGAAAGCAAAAAGCAATTATTTTCATACAATTAATAAAGGTTGTCGGCGGACTTAAGATGATATTATAGCTACAGAAAATGTTAAATATATAAGAAATGTTTAATAAACAGTGATTAAAAGGATAAATTAGACACCATGCGTGTTTTGTGCAATTTTGACAGTATCGACGTGTGCGCGTCAAGAACGAAAATTTGGATCTTATATGAACAATGGAAATCTGTGATATTTTCAAACAAAATACGAGTATTTAATATTCAAATCTTTCTCCCGAACTGGAAATCGACTTAGGTTATTCCGAATACGCTTACCTTTTGATAAAAATTCAGACACTGAGTTGACCTCAATTCACATAATTAGTTGAATCGTACTTGTATCATTCAATCCGTTGTACGCAGTACTTAGTGTAATACGTATTTATGATTGCTAATGCGTAATTTTGCACCCTATTTTAATTTTTAATGCGTATTTTGAAAAATTCAATGCATATTTCTGCAAATACGCACCTTATCTGGAGCTCTGAAAATTGTCACATTCTCTGTAATTTTCATCAATTTTACTCATTTAGCAAAGCTACAGTCATAACACATGTTTAAAAACACCGTAAAAACATTGCCAACTTTTAATCCGAATTTCCTCTGTTTTTCTGATTGGATATATTGTGTAATGGTATAGATTTATTAAAGTTATCTCCACCTACTCAATTGATCTACGGGTGAATGGTAAGAACTGTAGGCATTATCTCAGATAGAAAAATATATTTTCAATATTTTAATACATATTAAAAGAGGACTTCAAGAAAATGTGTACTTCTAGTAATTTTTTGAAGGAGGTTTATAATCTCCAGAAACAGATCTATAATGACCTAAATTGGAATCTCATTCACACATGTACTACCCTAAGTTGTATAGGTAACTACTTTATACTCATTGAAGTCAATTTTACTTTTATTAGTCAATTATTCATAATTGATCTTGTATGATGAAGTTGGATCATATTGAATTGTCTGGTTGGTTGCCCTAATTAGAGTTCATGCTGAAATGTTAAATGATTTACACCTGAATACATGATTTAAGCAACATTTTAAATTTTTCCCAATTTCATCAAATAGCCGATAATTTTTTCCCAATTCCCCCAAAATGGCGTTTCCCAAAATAGGCTGATAAATCCCTGTTGTCAAAAAAATGAATTTGTTGATAAAAGAAAGGTTACTTTCACTGCCTGATATATTTAGATAAAAATTAAGAATTTTTGTTTATATAAGTACATGTACATGCATTTGTGGAAAGGGGGGGGGCTAAACAGAATCTCTCTCTCTCTCTCTCATTTGTCCATTTAATCAAGACTATGACAACATATTACTTAAATATCAAGTTTTGCAAATTTAATCTATAACAAATAATATGAATGCGTCTTTGTATCATCTTGTCAGAGTATAATCACGGAGAATTGTCTACAGATAAATGTAGAAGTCTGCTCAATAAATAATCATAAAAATGAAAAGACACATAAATATATTATTGCATTAAATGTTTAAAATACGAGTGTATTTATGCAATATATTTTTTTTTCCTCATTATTTTACACGGAATCGCCTTGACACAGAAATACATGTATGGTTTTTACAACTGTTGTAATTCATTCCGAAAGTCAGTAATATCCTCTTCGAAAATCATTATATTAAATGGTTTTTTATATCAAATAAGAATAAACATTTTTATTTTACAACTAGAATAACAATTAATGCAATGTTTTACAGCGATAAAAATCGTGTGAATAAATGGCTGAATTTAAACATGATACATATTTGCAAAAATATTGTAAGAAACTTAATTAATAGTTTTACTTCATGTGCATGTTTCATCTTTCTTAGGACAATTTTTGAATATTTATTTATTTATTTATTTATTTATTTTGCACCTAACATTAGAATACAAAAGAATAGATACAATGCATGGAAAAGATCAGAGGAATTCCAAATAAATCGTTCATCTTGCTTTCACCGTTCGTTCACCGTTCACTTTGCGATCGCGTTCGGGCTCCATTCGTGTTCTGCGTTCGCTAACTGTTCACCTACCGTTCACCAAGTTGCGTTCAGTGTTCATACATCGTTCACTCACTGTTCGCTCAGCGTTCACTCACCGTTCAAGTGGGAAAGTAGAATGTTTCAGGGACTGTAACTACGGCTCTAAATTTGCACTGGCACTGCAAGTCAAAATTTTGTAAATGTGTATTGTCACTCTCTACCATCAGCTCATACATTCACCCCTGTCATTGGATTGCGTATATCACAGTGTTAAGTTTAAGTTTTTTTTGATTCATTATAATTAAATTCCTGCACTAATGTTTGTCTTTTAAGGTACTTGTTTACTCAGTAGATCTAGAACTATTAGTTTAATTTAAAATAATCCTCGGAATGTCATGTTTTTTACCTTATGTCAAAAATCTTGACACGAGCCCATTGCAGAGGTGTCTGAGGGAGGAACGAATGACAACTCTGCAATGGAAATTGATGTATCGAACTAACCACGTGTTCTTGTATTAATGAAAAATTAAGGATAGATCCACCAAAATATGACTCTAAACTTTTCTTAATTCACAAGTTTTAAGATGTACTTCAGTCTTCAGACCAATATTTGCAAATATAGGCTAGATGTAAGCATGATTGTGTGACATACCAGAATTTCCTCTGTCCTGTATAAATGAACCCTGTAGGTGTATAATTTACCTTTTGTAAACTTTTTTTTTTTTTAAATTAGGGTTAAATGCTTAAAAGTTGCTTTTTTTTTTTTCAGATCCTATATGCTAATATTTGTTTATTTATAAGTACGTATGTTTTTGGGAAGGGGAGGGTCTTTTTCATGCATACATATATTTCAGAAACATCCTAATTTTTATTAAACAATATGTTTTATTGATATCGATTGTTTTTATTACTGAATTTATCAATCATTTTGTCAAATAATTAATGCTATTATGATTTGTGTATTAAACTTTTGCCTGATTAGGGCCTGTATGTTTTTCAATTTATTTTATGGTTCCTTCGCGAATTCAGTCGCGAAATGACCGCAAATATTAGCGCTTTGCATAAGTCTTGCATCACTGTTAAATCTGAAATGATGGAGAACCCTGGCATTTAATAAACTAACTAAGTGCATAGTTATGAAGAGCATGGTTGCCTCTTCCAAAATTGTGAATTTCATGGCCCGGGGTTCTGGCGATGGGGCAGGGTTCTGTTGATATATATAGTGAAAATGCAATAATTCTTTGAAGATCTTGTTCTCTGCTCCTGGATATTAAATAAACTAAGTACAAAGTTAAGATGAACATGGCTGCCTCCTCAGTAATTATGAATTTCATGGCCCCTGGGTCAGGGGTTCTGGTGTTAGGGTGGGGTTCTATTAATTATATATCTCTGCTCCTGGGTATTTTTCAAACAAAGGAAGTGCATGGTTCTGATAAGGAAGAATGTCTCTTTTAAAATCTTGAAATTCATGGCCCCTGGGTCAGGGGTTCTGGTGAAAGGGGGGGGGGGGCTCTATTGATAATATAGTGAAAATGCATAATTTCTTTCAAAATATTTTTTCTACTACTGGTTATAAAGCAATTAAGAAACAAGTGTATAGTTATGATAAGCAAGGTTGCTTCTTCCAGAATTGTGAGTTCATGGCCAATGGGTCAGATTTTCTGTTGTAAGGGTGGGGCTTTATTTATTTAATAATATAGTGAAAATGCATTTCTTTGAAAATCTTCTATGCTTCTGGGTATATTTGAGGCAAACAGAGTAAAAGTTTTAATATGCAAGGGTATTTTTACCAGAATTTTGAACAACTGGACCATTTTGTCAAGTGTTCTGGTCCTGGCCAGGGCTCTATTAAGGAGGCTGGGGGGTCAACAAATTAACCATCAGATATAACTTAATTTTTTAGATATGATATCTTAAGCTGTCAACTATCATTTGGGAAACAAAAATTTCATACATTTGAGTTTTAAAATTTGATCATTTTTGTATATCTTTATATGGAGCTCTTCTTCTAAAGGAGATCAATATAGTCTGAAAATGGCCACAACTACCCAGCCCTCTTAACTTGTATTCTGCTGAGCAAAGTTATTCCCCTTTGCCTTTCACCTTTGATAATTATTCACTGTAAAGAATGTATTTTTGAAAGGTCAATAGAATAAGAAAATTATGCAAGAATATTTATTGTATAATACAAAAAGTACTTTCAAAGTTTTAATGATCAGGTAGACTTGGAAATAATAAATGAATAAAAACAAGAAAAAATAACATCTTTTTAAATGTTCTTCAAAGGCCAAGAGAGGCCAATGTGAGAAGTAATAACATGGGGTTAAAAAATAGACAGTTTGTTAATGGTCTGCATGGTAATAGTGTTAAATAGGGGACAGATAGATACTAGACCAATTATTTTCTTGATGCTAATCATACTATTTTTCTTGCTTTTCGGCAACAAAGCTTCATTTATCGGTTTATGGATCCTCTAAATTGTTGTATTATACTCAGGTGACCGTTAAGGCCCTTGAGCCTCTTGTTTTTTTTCAATGTTTGCATCTATCATACCTATGAGGGGTGATCAAAAAGTTCGCGAACTAATTGACAAGTTTTAATTCTCTGTGTTATTGGTCATTTTTAGTGATTTATATAAATTTCCATTGGTGACTGTATCTATTTAGTAGATCCAAGACATAGGATATACAGTGTTGTTGGTTTTTCACAAACACATTTTTTTTCAGTATGGAGTTCAAGAAATTCAGAACCATAATACGAAGCATAAAGCTGTGCTGAATTATAAACAGGGTGGATGGTTTGGGAAAGATCTGAACAAAGTTGATGGATATATATACAGTCCTGAGTGAGTAATATGTTTTCCTTTGGTCATAAAAGAAAGAAAAGTGGTTCAAGATAAACCTTAGATATCTTGTCGTAAAATGTGTTTATTTAAGCAAAAAGAAAAAAATTTTAGTGAAATTTGAACTGTGTGTATCTCTTAAATGCCACTTCAAACAAGGTTATACTGTAGGTATACTTTTTTCCGAGCAAGACATATTTATGCTTAACTACACAGTCGCAAAAAATCTGTGGAATTTCTTCCTTCTGGACTAAAAGTTCGTTCTTTTACATGGCATGATATATTCATTGATAAGTAATGAGACAAACAATTTTCATTTATGCAAAGTTCCAACAGTACAATTATATTTTATTCACTATTTAGCTCACCTGAGCCAAGCCTCAAGTGAGCTTTTCTGATCAAAATTTGTCTATTGTCTGTCATTCTCATTGTTGTTGAAGCCATTTTAAACTTCTCACATTTTTTTTTCTTCTCTAGAGTCACTGGGCCACTTTGAACCAAACTTGGCACAGAATATCCTTGAGTGAAAGGGATTTTATTTTTTTTTTTTCAAATGAAAAACACACCCTCTTCTATTGGGAGGTAATAAAGAAATATTGAAAATTGGAGAGTCATTTAAAAATCTTCTTCTCAAGAACCACTGGGCCAGAAAAAATGAAACTTATGTGAGAGCTTCCTGACATAGTTTAGATCTAAGATTGTCCATATCATGATCCCCAGGGGGTACAGTGGGACCACAATCTTCGAAAGAATATAATTATAGAAAAAAAAAGATTTAAAAATCTTCTTATCAAGAACAGCAATGCCATGATTAGTCTTATTTATATATGGAAGCATCTTTAGTTACTTTAAATTCAAGTTTGTTCGAATCATGACCCCTGGGAGTAGGGAGGGACCACAATGGGGGATCTAAGTTTTACATAGGAATACATAGGAAAAATCTTTAAAAATCATCTTCTGAAGAACAACAAAGTCATCATTTGTAATATATGAAAGCATCTTCAGGTAACGTAGATTCAAGTTTGTTAAAATCGTGACCCCCTTGGGTAGGTGGTGTACAATGAAGGATCAGAGTTTTACATAGGAATATATAGAGGGAAATAAGTCTTGAAAAATCTATTTCCAGGAACAGCAAAGCCATGATAAGTCATTTTGATATGGAAGCATCATCAGGTACTGTAGATTGAAATTTGTTCAAATCATGGCCCACAGGGATAGGGATTGGTTTCAATGGGTTATCAAAATTTTTCTTAAAAGGAATATGCAAGTGAAAAAAGAGTCAGCTGATGAAAGACAGAAGTGCGATTAGTGACTCAGGTGAGCATTGTGACCCATGGGCCTCTTTTATTTAAGGTATAATTTATGCATAAAGTTATCATGTGAGCAAACTGCTTGATCATCATCATAAAATGAAAACTTAAATTTATTTTTTTACCCAGGGATTTATCAGCCCAATATGAGAAAAGCCATTTTTTTGTATTTGGGAAAATTAAATGACAATTTGATGAAATTGGGAAAGTTAAAATTAAGGAAATATTTTAAAAATTAGAAAAACTTGATACTACCCCAGTTTACTAGTTTAATCCCTTTTTAACCTACTTTAAAAAACACTAGTACTTCTTTACATGTTGAGATGAGCTTATAATTTGTGAAAAAAAAAAAATAAATAATTCAAATCTTGATAGGGAAAAAATTGCAGCAGATCAGTATAATTTTTGTCCCTGCTTTCACTGAAAGTGGGGGATATCAATTTGGGTCTGTCTGTCCCTCCGTCTGTCTGTATTTATTTCTGTCTGTCTTTAACACTTTAGGTTCCGTGCAATATCTTGAGAAGCTTTAAAACTTTCGCAAAGAAATTGTACATAGCAAGGCCCTGTGGATTAAAGTAGACCCATATTGATTTTGAGGTCAAAAGTTTAAAGGTCAAGGGAAAAATACATTCCAGATGATAACTTTAATTTTCTTTGATCTTTCTTCAATAAAATTTAATGTCTTAACTCTCTATGATGTAAAGACCCCTATCGATTTTGAGGTCAAAAGGTCAGATTGATCAATTGATTGTTAGTCCCATTCAAGAACTTTTCACTTTTATAGAGATGTCACTGTATGCTGCTGAAGGGCTTCTAATTTAGACCTATACTCAGCACTCGGTGCCATTGAGTAGTGAGGGTTCTTTATTGTGCCAATGCCCACCGTGCTTTACATTTTAGGTTTGATGCGACACGGCGAACAAGAATGAACCCAGGCCGAACATAAAGCAAACGCCTTACCACTAGGCTACAGTGACTGATCTCAAAATTCTTACATTCTGTTTGTGTGTTACACTTTTGTTTCCAGAATATATCTTAAAAAGTCTTTGAGCTTTTGCAATGAAATTATGTATCACAATTTCTTATGGCATAAAGAGACCCCTAATGATTTTGAGGTCAAAGATCATAGATTAATACATTTTAAATTACTTTTCCAGATGATAACTTTAGATTTCTCTAAGCTTTCTTCAAGAAATTTAATATCATAACTCCTTTTGAAGTAAAGTAGACCTTTATCGATTTCTAAGGCAAAAGGTCAGAAGTCAAGGTCAGAAATTCATACATTCTGTCTGTGGAACACTTTTTACAAACTATATCTTAAACCTTTGACCGTTCATGGTAGCTTAGTCGGTAGAGCGCTCGCTCCGTGAATGGGAGGTCGTGAGTTTGAATCTCAGCCGTGACTGACCTAAGTCGATAAAAAATGGGTAGCAACTGTTCCTTCGCCATGCGCTCGGCACTTTAAAGGGAAAGTTGCGGGTCCTTCGGATGAGACCTTAAAAACCGAGGTCCTGTGTCACGGCAGATGTGGCACGATAAAGATCCCTCACTGCTCAGTGGCCCTGAGTGCCAAGTAAAGGTCAAAATTTGAAGCCCTTCACCGGTACATGGTGACATCTTATATGAGTGAAAATTTCTCGAATGGGACGTAAAACAACATACAATCAATCTTAAAACTTTGAGATTTTACAATGAAGTTTTATATCACAACTCCCCATGACCTTAAAAAAAACCATATTGGTTTACAGCTCAAAAGGTCAAATGTCAAGGTCAGAAATATATATTGCATATATAGTTTTTAGCTAATAATTTTAGTTTTCTGTAAGCTTATGCAATGAAACTTTTGGTCATGAATTTACTTTAAAAAGACTCTGATTGTCTTTAAGGCCAAAAGCTGAAAGGTTAAGGCTTACCTTTTTAGCTCACATGAGCCGAAGATTCAAGTGAGCTTTTCTGCTCGAAATTTGTCCATTGTCTGTCGTTGTCGTTGTTGTCGGCATCGTTGTAAACTTTTCACAATTTCATCTTCTCCAAAACCACTGGGCCAATTTCAACCAAACTTGGCACAAAGTATCCTTGGGTGACGGGGATTCAAGTTTGTTCAAATGAAGGGCCATGTTCTCTTTCAAGGGGAGATAATTACAAATTAGTGAAAAATTAATGACATCTTTTAAAGTCTTCTTCTCAAGAAACACTAGGCCAGGAAAGATGAAACTTAAGTAGAATCATCCTCAGGTAGTGTAGATCCAATTTTGTTTAAGTCATGACCCAAAGGGGTAGGGTGGGACCACAATTGACAAGCAAATTTTTACAAAGGAATATATAGGAAAAATCTTTAGAAGTCTTCTTCTCAAAAACAGGAAAGCCATGATTGGTCATATTTATTTGGAAGCATCCTCAGGTAGTGTAGATTCAGATTTGTTCAAATCATGACCCCTGGGGTAGGGTGGGGCCACAATGGAAGAGCAAAGTGATACATATGAATATATGAGAAAAATCTTTACAAATCATGTTCTCAAGAACAACAAAGCTATGATTGGTCATACTTATGTGGTAGCATCCTCAGGTAGTGCAGATTCCAGTTTGTTCAAATCATGACCCCGGGGGTAGGGTGGGGTCACAATGGATGATCAAAGTTTTACATAGGACTATATAGGAAAAATCTTTAAGAATCTTGTTTACAAGATCAGCAAACTATGATTGTTCATGTTTATATGGAAGCATCCTCAGGTAGTGTAAATTAACCCTAGTAGCGCTATATAAAATACACAGTGTTAGTGCTCTGAGCTGAATATTTTTGCCTGTGTTGGGGTTCATTTGTTGAAGCGATTTAATTCAGATTTTATTGAAAAAACGTAGACATATTATACATCAAAATGTTCAGCAGAGATAGGACTTCAATATTTTGATTGCCAGTTTTCATTCTTTGCATAAATAAGTAATTTACAGCTAAAGCAAATATATTACAAAAAACACAACTTTTTCTTCATGGGACTAAACTTTTATTCACTAAAATGCTTACTGATGGTAATACAGATAATTCTTTATACAGGGACATAGTTTTGGTACAACTTTTCAATGTTTATGTAGTCACATCGTAAGAAATACCATTGTTGATTTATCTTGATGTGGAATCTTGACATTTGCCATATTTCTCTCTTAATCTGGCTTCTTTAAACTATTTGATATGATTTTCTTTATTTCTGTTGTGTTTATATGAAATAAAACGCAGGTGAGTTAAGGCTAGGTATAGGCATTTCTATGCAAATAAACTAGTTAAAATGCCAAAGGACTATATTATACAGATATGAAAGAGCCAGTACACATTATGACGTCATATAATGACGTCATTGTTCCTTACTACACAAGATTATAATGGACATCAACAAAAAAATCTTCGGCACAAGGGCATGCTCTATTTTATTTAACTGAAAAAAGATATGTTTAGAAGCAAAATATTCTAAAGATTGCTGGTATTGCTGCAAAATATCAACAGCTCAGTTGTATAATTTCTATTTGTAAAGTTTTAAGTTGAATCAGGGTAAAAATGTACAGTCCAGTATAAGTTTCCTCAAATTCTGATCAAATGAGAGAATGCCTAGGATTTGTGCAGCAGTTTAATTGATCTATAGAATATTCTTCTTAGCATTATACAATTTTTATGTAAAATTAAATAAGATAATCCCTTGCGCT